ATCTGTATTAATCTTTTTCTTCCAGGACTGTACTAAAAACATCAAGAAGCCACCACATGGGATGTTCTAAACATTTATTATTGTCTTTAGTTTTACAGTCTCTGTAACCATCTAGTTTATTTTCAAACATATATTGGATGATGATTTGATCAAGTGGTTATTATTATTATTTTTAATACCTGCTCTATCTTGTACCATATGAAATTTAAACAACTGCTTTCTTAATGCCTTGTTCAGCTGCATTTTAGTTTGTGTTATTACTTCACTTTTGAATTATGTCTATCTTAAGAGTTGTGTTTTGTAAACACTTAAAAAATGTGTAACCAAGTTAAAGGTTTATTTTTCTTTCAGGTGAAACATATCTGGAGGTAGACAGTCCATTACTGCTTCTGGTGGCTTCATGCTCATTAGACTAATAATGAGTATTTTCCATTCTCAGTACATCAGAAATACAAGATCGCTGGTGGATCTTCACTCTACTCCTCATTCTACGGAAGTCAACAGAATGGGTGAGGAAGAAAATACTTGCTTTTATTGATTATAGACAATAAATTATGCTTATTGTCACTGGCCAAAGCTATTGCAAGAGTGGCTATGACATTAGTTTTTAGCTGGAAATATTGTTCAATTCCAGTAATACAAGGCCTATTCAATAATTATAAGGAGGAGATTGATATTAAAAACACTACACGCTTCATCATATCTGCATGTTTACTTACACACTCTGCTCCATCTTAAGCTCCTATCCGGTGCTGAGTCTTCCCATTGCACATGGTAGCCCATGTTCATATCCACATTTGGACTACTAAAGAATATAACTCATGTGAATTTGCTCTCTTTTGAATCATTAAGATTTGCTTCTTTACTAGATTATATACCTCAGCTTACAAACATACAACCATTATGACACAACTCCTGTTTTAAAACATGCCTGTTATCTAAATATCCTCTACCAGCTAATGCCTCACTTCTTTTTTATGGTGAGCTGTCTAATAAGGTAGCCATTAGCTACATGTGGCTATTTAATGTAAATTAATTGAGCATAATTAAACATTCAGTTTCTTGGTTGCACATTTCAATAGCCACGTATAGCTAGTGACTGTCACACTGGAAAAGGAAGATTATATAATAATTCCATCTCTGTAGAAAAATCTATTAGCCCCATATAAAGAAAATGTACAGGCTTCTTATCACTGGAAGATAATAAAATAGTATATATCAAAACCTGAGACTTGCAGCAAACGTTTAATGTGAAGGAAAAAATTGTGGCATTAAATGCATAAATTAGAAAAGAATTTTGAACTTTAACAAGTTGAAAAAAACAGCAAAATAATAGTCCGAATTATTGTAAAGTAAATAATAAGAAATTAAATAAATGAAATGAAAAATAGGTCAGTAAAGAGGGTAACCAAAGCCAAAAGTTGATCCCTTAAAATTAGTAATAAAATTTTTCAAACTGTCCAGGCTTTTCTAGAGAAAAACAAATGTCACCCAGAAAATATATGTTAAGAATAAAAATAGATTAAGTGACAGATATTGCAGTGATTACAAAGACAATGAGGGCATGCTATTAATAGCCTTGAATAATTTTACAGCATAAACAGCAATATAAAAATATCTAGAAAAATTTAACTTACCAGTGCTTAGCCAAGAATAAATATAAATCCTGAATAATCACATAACTATTAAAGCAATTAATATAGTTGCAAAAGGAAGACAGTAGCACCAGAAGGCTTTGTAGATTAGCTATGCCAGATTCTCAGGAAGTAGTTCATTACAATATTATAGAAAAGTAGACAATAGAAACGAGGAGTATTCTCCAAATCATTCTATTTATTTATTAAACTTAATACTTTAGCAGAAAGGAACATTAAAAAAAACTGAAAAATAAATAAACATAAAAAAACGTAAATATATTATACCAGCCTTAAATTAAGTAGCATATACAAAATGATATAACATGAATAAGTTGGTTTCACCCTAAAGATGTCAGGTTGATTTAACAATAGAAATGTATGAATATTATTTACTACATTTACTGATTACAGAAAATATTATAGAAACCTTATTTTTGATAAGCAAAAAAATATAAAACATAAATATGCACTATTTATAACTATTCTTACAAATAGAAATTGAAGGTAGCTCACTTAAACTGATAAAAGGTATCTACAAAAACACACCCCACTATTAGTAGTAAAATTTTTGAGTCACTCTATATAAAGTCAGAAGCAAAACATATGTATTTCTATTATTGCCAGCAAAAAAATATAAAACATAAATATGCACTATTTATAACTATTCTTACTAATAGAAATTGAAGGTAGCTCACTTAAACTGATAAAAGGTATCTACAAAAACACACCCCATTATTAGTAGCAAAATTTTTGAGTCACTCTATATAAAGTCAGAAGCAAAACATATGTATTTCTATTATTGCCATTTCTACCCTGGATCTTAGCCAAAAGGCCTAGAAGCTATTATTATTTCCATTTCTGTCCAGTATTGAAATGAGAGCTTAAATCAATGTTTCAAGAGCAAATACATACGTACATACATACATATATGAATAAATAAATAACAAAAGATTCGGTAAGAAGAAAGCACAAACAAACATTCGTTATCTAGCCAGGCTGTTGTACTGTTCGTTGGCCCATTTGCTCTCACATTCTTCCCTGTGCCTTTTCTGCTTTGCTCTATACAGCAGGGATCTACAATTTTCAGGTTTCCATGCAACTAATGGAGGCCCCTAGCAGAAGTTTGGAGCCACAGGAAAACCAAGAAGCCAGTGTGTTTCTTTTTGTCTCTTGCTCTCTCCACAGTGTTATCTATAACAGGGGCTCTCTGTTTTGGGTGCTAAATTCCAAAAGACAGTTCCTTCCTCTGGGATCACAATTTCTATAGGGAAGTTCCTTATTTCCTACTTTTACAAGGTTTTAGCTGCTCCTGGAATGCTTTGGTTTCTGAGCACAAGTATAACTACCTGCTTCTATGATCTCATCAGCAAAAGGAAGTGTCAAAGGTTTCTGGATGTTGCTAAATGCCTCACCTCCCCCTGGTTGCACTCCAGCTTTTCCATCACTTGTATATCCAATCCTTGACATTAATGTCATTCTCCCTGAAACAATTACAGTGATTTCTCTTTCCTGAACTGATTCAAGCAATACAGATGTGACCCTATAAAGATGAAAAGGGAGTTGCCAGGATGATTATTAGCAGCTGTTCAGCAGCTGAAGGAGCAATAAGACAAGACAATCAATTGATAAAATTCTGAAAGTGAAGACTCAATAAATAGTGAGAAGGAATGTTTTTGAACTATCAATTGTTCCTCTATCTCGATCTACAGTAACTAAAATATTAAGTCTGCAATTCACAGTGTTA